AGATCAGAGAAGCAAAAGAGACCAAAGAGCTCTTACCTCTACCAGGGCTGGAGCAATCCTGATCTCAATGTGGCTGGAGACTAACTGCCCAAGACTGAATACTGAATGCTCTGCTCCTATCTTTTTTTTTTTTTTTTTTAAACACAATTCTTTATTGATTTTTTGGGAATTTCATATCATGTACACCCAATCCCACTCACCTCTCAGTCCCTCTATATCCACCCCTCATCCCTGTAGCATGTCCCCCAAGAGAACTGCCTCCAAAAAATTAATTCAAAACAAACAAACAAACAAACCAGGAAGGCTGAGAGAAGCCAGCATAATAGAAACAAGGTACCATATAAAGCCATGAAAGTCTTAAATACAGAATATACATATCCTGATGTCTTGCTCCTATCTTACATACATCTCTAGTGCTGAGATTAAAGGTGTGAGCTCTGTTTCTCTTTTTAGACTAATTCACTCTCATGTAGCCCTGGGTGAATCTCAAAGAGATTCAATCTGCCCCTGTCTCCATAGTCCTGGGATTAAAGGTGGGTGCCACCACAGCCCAGCTTCTATGGCTATGGGTAGCTTTGCATTCTGATCTTCAGTGGCTTTATTAGATCCCAAACAATATATCACCACACATATGAAGTTTAATAATACATTCAAAGTATCTGGAAGTTGATAAAGGAATAGAACAGAGAAACTATACAGTTTTCTAGCTTTCAATGATTTAGCCAAACATAATTCATTCAATAACACATTCATCACAACAATAGAGCCAAATGGATAAAACATGTACAGCAACCTAAATATTATATACTATAAATGTTCTATAATAATGGGGAGAAAACTAATTGGACTTCTATAGTTTTAAAAATACAAAAGCAAAGCATTATATCAAATATAAAAGTCATAACCATTAAATATGGATGCCATTTTAAGGTATATTTTTATGAAAACACTGAGATAACATTACTTCAAAATTAAATTCAACCCAGGCAAGGTGAACCCACAACAAGTTAGGTGGAGAGAAATGACTGCACAGAGTGGGACTCTGACCTTTACTCCTCTATCATGCACACACACATGCAATAATAAAAATGTAAAAACTAACGCTCAAAACATGCATTTTAAGGACGTGAGTGAGGGAAGTAAGCCTGGGAAAAGTGCCAAGTCCTGGAAACAATAAAAAGATGTCCTTCAGTGGGTGAACAGATAAACTATTACATATGAACAAGAGAATATGGTTCAACATTAAAAAGTAGTGAGATATCAAGTAGTGAAAAGACACAGAGGAACTCAATGCATATTATTAAGTAAAAGAAGCCACTCTGAAAAGGCTCCATATTTTATGACTCCAAGTACATGCATTATAGAAAACGGAAAACTATGGAGACACAAAGCAGACTAATAGCAGAAATTTCACAGCAGGGCAGCTATTCTGTACATTATAATGGTGCAAAAGGCACAAAATGTACAATACTAAGAATGAACTCTCTTGTGAACAATGGACTTCAGGTGATAATGACATGTCAGTGTAGGTTTATCAAAGGGAAGGGTAATAGTAAAAATGATAAACCTAAAAACAAAAGGAAAAAAATCTGACACATCCTGTAGTATCAGATGATATGAAAGTACTTACAGGACAGGAGAAACGTAAAAGGCACAGAACACTCAATCTGTACTGAGTTTTCCAAAATTAAAGTAGTTTAAGTAATTAAATAGATAAAACAATATGGAGTAACTGTAAGATGTACCAGAGTCCATTCTGATATAAATGACAGACTAAATGAAAGTGAACAAACCTTCCATACAGAAGAATTTCAGATATCCTCTCCACAAAGGAGCTTTGGTTAATTCCATTTCCTACAACCCAAGTCCCCATCCAAGTGAGGGACCTTAGTGATTCCCTTATAAAGAACAGAGCAGAGCAAAGGGGATGCAGCCCATCTTCAGTGGGGAGATCTGACAACCACTACTCTATCTAACAGTGCAGTCAACACCACCACACAGACATGTACGCCTTAGGATGATGTAATGATAAGGAGAATAGCACTTTGCCTCTGTGCTAGTCTTTCCAAAAACAAACAAACAAACAAACAAACAAACAAACAAAAAACCCCTGTAAGAATCAGGTCTAATCTGGAGAAAAACACTGGACAACTGAGATTAGTTTATATTCTACAGGTCACATGAACAAAGACTGGGAAACAGCTGAGAAGAGACTTGGGAACAAGACAACTACATTTCAGATATCTTGAACTGAATCATGGAAAAAGAAGATATTAATAGAGAAACTAGTAAAATCCAAATAAAGACTGGACTCTGCTTGACAGTTATTCAAAAACACTGTGTTTTTCATTTTGACAAATGTATGATAGGAAGATTTGGGGGAATGGCAAAGGGGTAGGTGGAAATGGTAGCACATTTGTAACTTGTCTATACCTCCAGAAAATAAAATGAAAAACCTTGAAAACAGAGTTGTAAACCCATTAGACTCACAGGGGTTCTTTGGAAAAAACTAGCCTTCTAAATTTAACTAATTTATGCCTTTTATAGTCAGCCTTTTAAATAAAATTAAGCAAAATACAAAGCTAAGAGGAAGAATACTAAAAATGTCTTATTAGAGTAAATCACGAAACATGATGTACTATGTATTAATAGTTCAAGAACTATGCATATTTAACTAGGAACATTTGCATGACATTATTAGGCACACATAAATTTAAGACCTAATATTCCTTCATCAAGTTTCATCGTACACTGTATTTTATGGATCACTGTTCTGAGGCATGTTTATTACATTAGTAGTCTTATAATACAGAAACAAATGTTTGGTAAACACATCCCATACATGATTCTTGAGGAGGAGATAGTTTGTCTCTACCAGTACAGGTTAAAGAAATTAGTGTTGCTTGATTTGTTTTGGGGCCTCAAACTTGCTCTTGTCCTTTCTCCACATTCTAAATAGTGGGGTTACAGGCATGTGCCTAGCCTGGAAGGTTATTTATAATGCTTATCTATACCTTGGATATAGGGCAAAGGTGTAAACACCTTTTAAAAATTAATGTCTTTTCAATACAATATGGGAATAAAGGCCAGTGCAAAGATTATCACTGAAGAGACTGCCATTGTTCTATTATTTCTTTGTTGGGAAAGAAGTACCCTACATTATGTGGAGTTACACACCAATTTGTACATTTTGTTCTCTACAGTAGCAAATAGCTTCTTTCGGTTCTAAGAAATAATACCAGAAGTTAGGGTTTATTGGTCTGTAGGAAATCAAGCAGTTTATAATTAATATAGAATTCTTAACTGGCCAATTGTTAAAATTATCTGTGGCTGTGTGGTGGTGGTGCATGCCTTTAATACCAGTACTTGGGAGGCATTGGCAGGTGGCTCTCTAAATTCAAGGCCAGACTGATCTACACAGTCAGTTCCAGGACCCTCACAGATAAAAAAGAAATTCAATTTTGAAAAACCAAAGAAATTAGTTGTAGAATCATAAAACAGGAGACAAAGGAAGAACTCTAAGGAGTCTGTTGTCTGATCTTTTCTTTAATAAAAGGAAGTAGGAAGTTGGGTCCATAGGAATACACAGACTTTCCAAAGGTCTGACAGTAGTAGAAAAATACTCAATTTAACTTAGTGCCATGTGTTAATTTTCTTTTCTTTTTTTTCTTGCTTTTTTAATTTAAATTTGAAATTCATGTCAATCCCAGTTTCCTCACCCTCCTATCCTCTCCTATCACCCCCACTAATCCCCAGCCCATCTCCTTTCTGCTCCCCAGGGAGGATGAGGTCTTCCTAGGGGAGTCTTCAAAGTCTATCATATCATTTGGGACAGGATCTAGGCCATCCTCCCATGAGTCTAGGCTGAGAAAATATCCTCTATGTGAAATGGGCTCCCACAGTCCATTTGTATTCTAGGGATAAATACTGATCCATTGCTAGAGGCCCCATAGACTGCCCAGTCCTCCTAACTAACACCCACATTCAGGGGGTCTGGGTGGGTCCTATGCTGGTTTCCCAGCTATCAGACTGGGGCACATGAGCTCCCCCTTGTTCAGGTCAGCTGATTCAACTGCTGGTGGTTTGGAGGGCTTGCTGCTCTTACAGAGCACCTAAGTTCACTTCCTAGCTGGCAGCTCACAAGTGCCTACAACTCCAGTTCTATGGGATTCAATGTCCTCTTCTGGACACAGACACACAGGATTGCATGCACACACGCACACATGCACAGACTAATTACTGAGCAAAAATGTTTCCTAAATTTTTGTTTTGATTTTTGAGAAAGGGTTCCTCTATGTAGCTTTGGAACCTGTCCTGGAACTTGCTCTGTAGACCAGGCTGGCCTCAAACTCATGGAGATCCTGAGTGCTAGGACTAAAGGTGTGTGCCACCACTGCCCCACCTACTTTTTTTTCCCCAAGTGAAATGAGCTATTATGTGGCTTAGGTATAAAGTGTGAGCAGCCGGTACTTCCATGCATATGGTCAATTTGGAATTTTGATTACATGGTTAGGATTTAAACAAGAATAATTAGGAATAAAAAAAATTACAACTTCACTTTTTACTGTTACACTTTTTTACTAAAAAAAAAGTCTAGATGCATGTGGTTTACTTGGAAAACATTTGGACATTTCTTTTTTCTTTTCTTCTTAAATTATTTTATGAGTGTTTTGCCTGTATGTGTGAATATGTACTATGTGCATGCTTGGTACCATGAGGTTACAAGAGGATGCTGATCCCTCTAGAACTTGACTTACACATAGTTGTGAGCCACCATGTGGGTGCTGAAAACCAAACCCAGGTCCTCATCAAGAGTAACAAATACTCTTAACCACTGAGCCATCTCTCTAGCCTCTCACTTGGTCATTTTTCCAATTGTCCATTAAATCTACTTTTGGTACACTAAAGATAGAGTAACTTCAGCTTTTAAGTTTGAGCACACTGTTTCCCTTGGTCCCAAATCACAGTCATCATAAACAAGAAAAAAATAAAATCTGTACCCTGACATTACTTCTAGGTGAAGTTGTCCTGAGACAGTTAAGAAAGCAGGAACATTGAAGAAATTCTCCTCGGGTAACTTTATTTTGCTTGAAGGCTGTAAATAAACACAAACCATGAAAAGATATTATGCATTTTGCTTGTTTTTTACAACTACACATAATCCGTAGCTAAAAACAATATTGCAGTTGAGCATATGTAAGGACCATTCCTTCTCACTAAAATAAAAGGACTGCATATACCTAAAACAGAACATACCTCTGTAGGCATTCTAACAGCAAAGGAACATACCATGTAATCTCAAAACACAGTAACCACAGAACATAGCATTTTCTTTCTTTTGTTATTTTTCAAGACAAAAATCTGTGTAATAGTTCTAGTTGTCCTGGAACTCACTCTGTAGACCAGGCTGGCCTCGAACTCACAGAGATCTGCCTGCCTCCTGAGTGCTGGGATTAAAGGCATGTGCCAACATTGCCTGGCAGGACAGCACTTTTTCATGAATTTTTCCCCTAAAAATTAATTCTGATTAAGGGTAAACAAAGGCAAGAGATGGTTTATGAGTTAAAACATTAAATAATGCAATTTACATGACCTCTTTCACTTTGACCTACAATTAAGACCTCATTTTCTCCTGGGAGTAGCCTATAGAACAGTGTTTCTCAACCTGTGGGTTGTGGCCCCGTAGAGGGGTTGTTGGGTGACCCTTTCACAGGGGTTGCCTAAACCATATGAAAACACAGAACAGATATTTATGTTATGATTCATAACAATGGTGAAATTATAGTTATGAAGTAGCAACAAAAATAATTTTGTGGTTGAGGGTTACCACAACATAGGAACTGTATTTTTTTTGGGTCAATTACATTAGCATATATGGAAAATGAACTCATGTAATTATTTACAGGGTGAAGTAGCACACATCTGTTTTCAGATACCCAAGGCTGTGACAATATATTATTTATGATTTATTAAAAGCTTGCCTGAGGATTCAGAAAGCAAAGCCAGTCATAGCTATAGAAGTTATACAGTGATGATACATACCTTTAATCCCAGTAACCATACTAGTTAGCCAGGCAGTGGTGGTGGTACACACCTGTAATCCCAGGACTCAGGATTAAGAGGTGGATGGATCTGTTAGTTCAAGGCCACACTGATGACACAAAAATTGATCCAGTCTTAAAAGAAACAGCTCACACAAAGGTGATCTCAGCACTTGGGATCACATGCCTTTAATCCCATCACTAGGTGTAAGGATTCAGGCATTATGCTTGCCTGTTCCTGTCACCTGGCAGAATGCACTCAGGCAATAAATACCAGGAAGGTACAGACAGGAGTTATATGGCTGGGAGGCAGGAGGAGACAGGAACTGACACCTTTTTGCCTCTGAGGATTTGTGGAGACAGAACTGCCATTTTAGCTTGGTAGAGGTAAGATCCACGGGCTTGGCTGCTTTGCTTATTTGACCCTCAGCTTAAAGCCCAATATCTATCTCTGGGTTTTTTATTTTTCGTGTTACATAAGGCTGAGGCAAGAGGGTGGCTTGTACCCATGAGTTTATGAGACCTAGCTAATAAAGCAAAGCCTGGGGAAAAAAAAGTAATTCTGAACCTCACAAGTTCAAAAACCACTGCTCCAGGGTTATGAATTTACAACTCTAATACTATTAACTGACATGATAGATGAATCTGAGAACATAAAAGTTAGGGAATTTTATTCAATAAAGCAAAGACAGACAAATCTAACAGGAATGTTGGATTAAGAACAAAAATATTTGCAGCACATAAAATCAGTAAGTGGAGAAATGGCTTAGAGTGGTTAAGACAGAAAGGGCCTGCATTTGGCTCCCAGAACTGACATCAGACAGCTCAAAACCATCTGTAACTTCAGCTTCCAGAGACCCATTGCCCTCTTCTGGCCTCTGTGGGCACCAGGGACACACATGACATATCTACAGATCTACACACATACACATTAGTGAAAAATAAAAACAAATCTTTAAAATTAGCAAGTGATTAATGGGCAGAATATATAAAGTATCTCCTGCCTAGAAAACAAGAAAGAAAATAATCTCCCTAACAGGAAAGTAAATTTACAGAAAAGTATGATTAAATGGTTAAGATATAATATGAAGAAGTTCTCAAACTGATCAAGAAATCTAAAAAATCAAATACAAGAAGGCATGGTAAGAACACTTGACAAATGCCAGATTGCTAAAAATAAGAAAGTTGTATTTTAAAAAAAGTTAATATTGCCAGGCAGGGTGGCATACACCTTTAATCCCAGCACTCAGAAGGCAGGGCAGGTGGATCTCTGGGAGTTCAAGGCCAGTCTGGTCTACCGAGAGTTTTAGGACAGGCTCCAAAGCTATAGAGAAACCCTGTCACCCTGTCTTGAAAAACCAAAAGTTGTATCACGTACAGGTGAAAATACAGACTAAGAAGTCCCCATGACTCCCAGATCCTGGCTATTTTTAAATACCTATCCAGTTACTAATGTACATTGATTTTATAAATTCAATTGAAGTTCTGTATCAGGCAGCTTAAAGATCCAGAGTTTATCTGGGTATATCAAACCTAGTCACATGAGCACTTTAAAAAGCCTGATGAAGCTTTTTCCCTGCTGGCTTCAGGGGTCAGATTTGTAAGACAAGAATGTGACATGCTGCTGCTGCTTGAAGACAGAGACACAGGAAAAGGCCTCAGATCAGTCTTTAGAAACTTAGGGCATCCTGGGCAAGCATTGCAAGGAAACAGAGGCTGGGCATTACAAATGCAAGGAACTGATTCTATGTGCAAAAGGAGCATCCACAAGACAGGGTCCAGATGAAAGCCAGTCTGCTGAGACCTTGATTTCAGTCTTGTCACATTCCAGCCATGCCATTTGGGACTTCTGACCTATAGAACTTTAAGATAAATACTATAGGTTGTTTTAAGCCACTAATCTTATAATTTCTTATAAAGCACCAGAAACCTATTTCATGAGAAACAGAAAACAAAGCTGGGCATTGGTGGCGCACACCTTTAAACCCAGCACTCGGGAGGCAGATGCAGGTGGATCTCTCTGAGTTTGAGGCCAGCCTGGTCTACAGAGGGAGTTCCAGGACAGCCAAGGCTATACAGAGAAAAGCCTGTCTTGCAAAACCAAAAAATAAAGGAGGCACAGTATAAACAGTTACTGCTAATTCTATAGGAGGTGCAAAAATTAAGAATGTACATAGGACCAGGCAGATGGCTTGCTGGGTAAATGTGCTTGCCATCAAGCCTGATGAGCTGAATTCTATCCTTGGGATGCTTGTAGTGAAAGGAAAGCATGAACTCATGCAAGTTATCTGATGACCTCCACACATACAACATGACACACACTCCCTTGCCCATACCCATGTTAAAAAAAGACTTACATACATATATACATACATATTCAAAGTCCAAAGAGCTGGGTTTGATCATTAGCACTTAAACAAACAAACAAACAAACAAAAAACAAATACAAACGACAAACCTTAGAATATGCATTGTGGGGAAATTTTCACACAGATCCATTTGGGGCTATGTATATGTATCCTCACCACACCCCCAGATATGTTAGAACTGGAAACAATCTAATACTTTCTGATTGGATGACTGTTCCAAAGGGGGAATTAATGCCTTGTATTGTAAACCTAGTCAAAGCCCATGGCTGCAGAGGTCACTGACCCAAGCAAGGAACCCAGTCCTGTTGTTTTACTAAATGCACATATTATCAAACTACCTTCTAAATATTTATTTTTCCCTTTTATTAAAACTAGATTTTTTTTCTCATGTGATATATTCTGATTCCAGTTTCCCTGCCCTCTAATCTTCCCAGTTCCTCCTCACCTCCTCACCCACCTGGATCCATTCCCTTTCTGTCTCTCATTAGGAAATAGATTTCTAAGGAATAATAGTAATACAAAATAGAACGAGAGAAAACAAAAACTAACACATCAGAATTGGACAAAACAAATAAACAGAAGGAAAAGAGCCCAAGAGAAAGTAAAAGAAACAGAGACTCACTCATTTGCAAACTCAGGAATCCCATAAAAAGACTAAATTAGAAGTCATAATATAGTGGTTCTCGACCTCCAACCTCCCTAGTGCTGTGACCTTTTAATATTGATCCTCATATTGTGGTGACCCCACAACCATAAAATTATTTTTCATTGCTACTGCATAACTGTAATTTTGCTACCTTTAGGGGCTGTAATGTAAATATATGATATATAACTGCTGTGAGAAAGCCATTTGACACCAATAGGGGTTGAGAACCAAGGCAATAATATGATGCAGAAACTTGTGCAGACCTATGGAGGTCTAATGCATGCTACCTCAGTCTCTTTGAGTTCCTATGAGCTTTGGTCCTTGTTTTCTTGGTGTCCTCCATCCCCTCTGGCTATTACATAGTTTTTCCGCCTCTTCTTCAGGGCTCCCTGAGCTGAGGAGAGGAATTTGATGAAGAGAACCCATTTAGGGCTGATTGATCCAAGGTCACACACTCTCTGTGTGTACTTTCTGGCTGAGGGTCTCTGTATTTGTTCCCATAGGAGGAACCTTCTCTCATACTGATGGCTGAACAAAAAGCACTGACTGATCTATGAGTATAGCAAAATGTCATCAGGAGTCATTTTATTGCTACCTTGCTTTTTTTTTTTAAAGACCAGTAGTTTTTGGTTTTACCCTAGGTCTATCTAGTTTGCCTGCATATATATGTGTGTGTACTGTATGTGTTCCTGATGCCCCTAGAGGCCAGATCAGAGACTGAGCTTCCTGGAACTGGAGTTAAGGATGATGGCAAGCTGTTATATAGTGCTGGGAACTGCATCTGGGTCCTCTTCAGGAGCTTAAAGTGCTCTCAATGCCTGAGTTATCTCCTAACCCCCTTGATACTATTTTTATTTAGGAATTTTATACTTTGTTAAGCATCTTTAATCACTGTATTCCTCGGGAAGATTTTCTTTCATGTTCTTCCCATTGAAAACCAAACTTGTGTATCTGCTCAATTATAGGTACTTAGGCTTAGTATCAGGTCCCACTTCAATTCATGTTTTTACTAAACTAACATTAATTTCACAGTGTGCTA